TGTCTCTGTGGTCTGTCCGGTTAAAGCTACAGATTTAATTATACTTGTCATGGAATCCATTATCTTTAATAGAAAATCGTCTCTAATATAACACACTTCCTTAAATCTGGATTACTTTATCCTGTTGATTGTAACATGGTTTTACTTTAGTCATACCATGCCACAGCAGGCAAATGACAGGCTCATTACTAATTCAGAGGTATTCATAGAGCACTATTATAAACTGACTCTCTGGAAAGCGTATATTTTTTATATCACTATTACAAGAATGTGGGAATCAGGCTTATGTCCAAGTACTGACCAGATACAGTGAAAATAATACATTCCACTTATTGTTTGAAAATATTTTCCTTTTTTTTTTTTGACCAAATAGTACCAACGTAGTGACTTCTAAAATTTACTTGTGTTAAAACAATGGAAGGAATCTTCATTCTCAGGTACAGTGAAGTAGATTATAGTGGAAAGGCCCAAACAACCACTGCTAAAAGTACAAACCATTTAAAATAACGGAATACCAAAGTTAGACTTTAATAATGTTAGAAAGCAGTGGAAGGAATGAGGAGTGGATGATCTGAAATTCCATACTAAAAGGAACCTTTCATTGTTGAGTTGACACACCTGACTTTTTGTCCTCCTGCCACAGCCGCCAAGTTTGCCTATGGACACAAGCTCTGACTTGGCACAGGCAGAGGAGCTCTCCTGAGAAAGGAGAATCCAGCTGAGCCTTGGGGGTTGCACAGGGCAGCCTCTATATGTGCTCTGTGCTTTCCATGGGACACGCGTTGAGGTCTGAGTCAGCAGCCAGGGATGGAGGTGCTGGGTTAGAAGGACATAAAACTCCCACAGATACAATGTGCTCCCCCAATCCCCAAGGCTGCACAGAGCATCCCGAATACATGTCTGAGTCATGGACACCGGTCTCCACCCTCACTGACCACCCCCTGCTGGTGTAGATCCTGCTGGGCCTTCTGCTCAGCATGTCAGTACTTGTGACATCTCCAGACCCAACCAGCAGTCTCTAGGGCCAGAATGAGTTTCAGATGCTCTGTTTGGCTGTGTTGGGTTGACAAGATATGAGCAACAGGACCTCAGGTCTCTTTCCACAGCGATTTCACTAAGCCTTTGGTGGTTATAGATCTAAAACGCTTCCCAAAGCACTATTTTCCCAGGAAATTCACAGTGATGCAGGCTTCACCCAGGAAGCCAGGTAGTGGTGCCTTCAACTCTGGGATTCTTCACAAGAAACATATCAGGCCTCCTGGGTCCACATCATGAACTGCCAACTCCACCACCAGCCACATCCCTACCTATCAAAGGCCAAGGGCAGTTTAACTGAAGCTGACCTCTCCTATGTTTCCTTCATGCTTTCATCCCTGCAGTCTGCCCAGTCTGAAATTCTTAACATTTTGAGGTAAAAATGTTCACATTATTCTGTACTTTTCCAGTTTTCTATGGGAAAAATTACATACTCTACATTTTCCAGTATATGCTTTTTCTTTTTGGAAACAACTTTTGGAATTTCAGGGACTCATTTTTTCTATCATTAAAAGGTTATTAAAGGCTAATTAAACAGTTTTAGCATTAGGATCTTGTATCTTCCATGAATTTACAAAAATCTATTTGATACTCCAAAATCAAGGTTTTTACTCACTGTCCTCAGCCAGCTTCCCCGTAGGGTAACTAGTGTAGCTTGTTGTCTCTACTGTCTTTTGGGAGTGGGAGAACAGGGGAAGCAGACAGTTAGAAAACTGGCAAAATACTAATATTAAATATTATCAAATGTCCTCAACTGCTAAACTCGGTATACAACATGGTAGTCACAATCTGTGTCAAAGGTTGTCTGCTCTGCTGATTACATTTAATTGGCAAATGTACACAAGGCAGGGAGCATTAGGGTAAGCTTTCATTCTCCTCTCCCTTGCATCTTGCTTATTTATCCCCAGGACACCTGGACCCCTCATTCTCCTGCTGCTTATGACAGTAAAAGTTGTGGCAACTGGCAGGGCATAAAGGAGTGGTGCCTGCGGTGTGGCTGGGCTCTCAAAGTCCAGAGTCCTCAGCTGTGAATTGTCCCCTGCTTCTCCAGCATCTCCCTCTTACACAGATTCTGAGACCCTGCTGAGCTGCTCCCCAGTCAAGCACCACATGTGGGCAGCTGGGCCACCCCATAGGGAGGTTTTTGTTCAGGGCTGTACCACTGTGGGAGGAACCTGTGTACCTTGCACGCAGTAATAAACTCCAACATCCTCAGTCTCCACTCTGCTGATTTTCAGTGTGAAATCTGTCCCTGCCCCACTGCCGCTGAATCTGTCTGGGACCCCAGAGTCCCGGTTAGAAACCTGATAAATTAGGCGCCTTGGAGGTTGGCCTGGCTTCTGCTGTAACCAATTCAAGTAGGTTTTTCCATCACTGTGTACAAGGCTTTGACTAGACCTGCAGGAGATGGAGGCCGGCTGTCCAATAGTGACAGACAGGGAGAGTGGAGACTGAGTCATCACAACATCCCCACTGGATCCTGAAATAAATACAAAGAAGAGCAAGGTTATGTAGATACTTTATGCATCATTTTCATAAATTTTGATTTGTTGTTTGTTTCAGGCTATATATTTATTTGTTCATATTTCAAGAATATAAAATTTC